ACAGACACGTGTAGAAAAGACACAGCTCAAGGACAGTCAGGAGCGCACACTATTAATTACACGCATGAACACAGAGACTGGATGAATACAAGCGGCCAAACAGATGACACTAAACAGACAGAGAGAGAGACAGACAGGTCTGATTGCTGGTGGTTATGTGTCATTATCTCAGCTGGGTGTGTGTCGGTCCAATAGAGACCCAGCTAGAGAACAATAATCACACACACAGAGACACACACACACACACACTCTCACACTCACAGACACACACTCTCACACACACACACACACACACACACTCACACACACACACCTCACACACTCACACTCACTCTCACTCTCACTCTCACACACACACACTCACACTCACTCTCACTCTCACACACACACACACACCCCCAGAGACACAAACACAAGAGACACACACACTCACTCTCACACACACACACACACTCACACTCACTCTCACTCTCACACACGCACACACACACGTTTGTTTTTGTGAATTGTGGGGACATTCCATAGGCGTAATGGTTTTTATACTGTACAAACAGTATGTGCTATTGCCCTAAACCTAAACCTACCCAAACCTGTCCCCAACTTTACCCGCATCACACCTCAATAGCAGCAAATGTGTTGTGCATTAACAAACGCCTTTAATAATTGTATAACATCTGTTAAAATCATTTGTAGATTTTCAAAAAGTGCACATGAATTTAAACTTTAATGACATTTGTAAGCATTTTCATTTATATGAAATAATGATCTGTTAATCATTAGGTAATACGTTTATTAATAAGCACACTATCTCTTAGATATTTGAATATATATTAATTAATGATCCGTTATGCATTATGCACAATGCTTGTTAATGATTTATTAATGAAAGTTATTATACAGTGTTACCAAAAAAGGAAAGAAAGTCTGGTAGCTTTTCATTTCTTAAACAGCCATGTCAGAAGACATATCCTAAGGTCATATTCATTAAGATTTATCAGGCTCAAAGTCTTTTTAATGCAACTTTTGGTGGAAATAAATGCTGTGATGTTGCATAACTTTGTCAAAACAATGCCACAACGGATGTTATCAAAGCTAAAGGCAACCTGACGAAATATTGGAGTGTGCGACTTTCTTTTAGTCATGCATTATAGGCAATATTGTCCGATCCTAACAAACCACACATCAATGGAAAGCTATTTATTCAGCTTTCAGGTCATGTATAAATCTCAATTTCTAAAAATTGACCCTTATGAGTGCTCCAGGGTCACATGTGTATTATGATTTCAATAGGATCATTATATTATTGCCTACATTAACTAGAGTTGTATTAGATCGGTTTTATAAATCAAACAATCAAATCAAGGCTGATTTTTAAAGATGGAGTTTTATTCATGGTTGCAAAATAAACAGTACCATGAAAAAAAAAATTGTGGTTTTAAAATTGTATTACATACAATTAATCTGGAAGAAAGAACAGCATTTAGAGATTCAACAGAAACTGGAAATGAAGGGGTTCTAATCAAATCATCTCATGTGTATTGTTAAGAATAAATCAGCTGAAAAGATCACCAGAAAAGTGAAGAACACAAGCCAGAAGCCCAGAATGCCATGCAGTCCTTCAGCAAACGCTCGTGTCGTCAGACTCTAACTCAAACTGCACTGCCGGCTTCACATCGGTGCAGAACTCATATCTGTACAAGCCAAAAGCCATTTGCACCATTAAACATTAAAGATCAGGTTAGTATTTCACTCCTCTCTGCCTTTGTATACGTGTTAAACTC